ATAAGTTGAACTTTTTAAATATTATGAGCGTTCATATTGTGTCTCAGAGGTGCTGCTGATATTTCTTCATCACGATTATAAAAAAACCAAATCCAGCACCTGAAGCTGCCGTCCTCCGTGCAGTGAGGGATCTCATCTCGCTCTTTGGCAACAGCGACGCCTCTCAGCAGCTCACATCGGCTCAGCGTCTCTGACTCCAGCTGGTACTCTGAACAACGACAGGAAACATCGTCATCAATAAACAGCAACAGGAAGGACAGAGGAGCGCCTTCAGCAGCGCCGTCTGTCCAACCGTGACGGGGACGACGTGCAAAACAGGGAAAATGCTAAAAACACAGAAGAAGGCTTTAAGTGGATTTGCCTGAACTTTGATTACAGTTCACCTGAAAAATAATTTGAGGTGAAAATCTGCCACAGCCTGGTTCTGATAGAGGTTAACAGCTGTGCTGAAAGCCAGAAGCAGAGAATTACTGCAGTCGTCCACATCTCGCTAACAACCGGCTCTCTGCTGTTCACTGTCAGTAACACTAAACTTTGTGTTCTGTAACAGCCATAAACACTGATTTAAACGTTGATAAACGAGCACCTGCAGCAGGTGAGACTGCTGGATCCACAGTCTGATTAAAAGGTGGATCTGATTTTTGGTAGAATACGTCCTTTTGGACAGTTCAGCTGTGCCCGTGTGTCCTTAAAATCTAATCTCAGTTTCACCTCCCTCAGTTTTAACTTTAAAATGTCATTCTGTCCAAACCGAATACAACAATGATCTTCAGTAGGAACCAAAGCAGAGCTGTGAGCAGGAAACAAATGCAGGTATAAAAAAATAGCACCATTAGTGCACCTTGAACAAAACTCTAATGAAATCTGAGCACAGCGGCAGACTCACCACTGACAAGTTCAGGTGTGCTTACCTGAAGCTTTGCCCTGCAGCAGCGCGGGGCAGCAGACCAGGATGCAGGCAATGCGGAGCAGCCGGGCCATCGTCTGCGTGGTGACAGACTGAGGTTCGCTGCCTCCTTATAAAGCTGCACAGCTGCTGAGTCACCGTGAGGAGGCCCTGCTGAAAAACACTTCTTCATCCATCGGCGTGGAACCAGGAGTGCTCGACTCCAAGTCAGGAGGCGAGCGGCGAGCCGTGAAGCCTTCTGATTGGATGAGAGGAGCTCTACCACTGGTGGCTCCGCCCTCATTGTGATGGTTTTTGATTCAGTTTGTGAACAGCCAACACCAAAAACCCGTCTCCACTTTTGTTAAAGTTATCTGTATAAATTATATCACAGAATTCAATAAAACGCAGACAAACACTGAAGCTGGACACAAACGCAGCACCAGCAACGCACAAAACACTTTCAGCTTTTATTGAGACAGACAGCAGAGAGGACAGCTGTCCTCTCTGCTGTCTGTCTCAGGAGTCAGGACAGAGTCAGCCCAGCACCTCTAACAGCCGCACAGCTCCGGGTTCTAGTTAATAATAATACAAATCTTTGTATGTGCGTTTACTGCACTTTTGTCTCTCTTGTGGTTTATGAGAGTGAAGCTGATCGTGGATTAAAAACTGGAAATACTCAGGAGCTATTTAATAACTCTCTGAGTGACTCATCAGTTTCATGCTCGCTGTTGAAACTAAAACAAACTGTGTCTGCCTCAGAGAGAAAGAAGCACTCGAGGCTCCCGCAGTGAGTCTGGCCCGTAAACATCTGTGTTTACAGCCTGATGCAAAACTGTTCCAGACTAACAGCTGAGCTCAGAACAGGCTGCAGCTCCTGCAGGGCTTTGCTTGGACAGTGCTCCATGTGGGAGCGATGAAAGCATGATTGGAGCTCCAGAGCCTGAGAGTGATGGCCGGGGTCAGGAGAATCCTCGGTGAGGCAGAGCTGGAGACACTTTTGATATTTGCCTATAGTACTGTCAGACTTGATGTCAGTCAAAGATTTACAAACAGCATCATGTTGAACTGAATCTTCTGTTTTTGCTTTGGATCAGGATTTCAGAGCTTCCCCTCCCTGCTGCACAGACACTCTCTCTTTACACTGCCTCAAGAGATTCAGGTTAAATGACACCAAAGGTACGAGCACCTCGATAAAAGCAGAGGTTGGTGTTGATGATTCAGGCTTCTGTTCCCAGAATCTACAGCCAAAGCTCAGACTGTGCAACGCTCCATCTCAGACGGGCCTCAGTTGGCACGTTAAAGGTTAAAGTTCATCACACAGCAATAGAAAAAAGCCTGAACAAGTGTGGTTTGATTGGAAGAGCTGCAAAAAACCCTCTTCTCTCTAAAAAGCACATGGCAGCATGGATTAAGTTTGCAAAGTTGCACCTGAACAAAGACTTCTGGAACAAACGAGACCAGAGTGGAGATGTTTGGCGATAATGCACAGCAGCACAGTCAGATACAACCAAACATCATAGCAGCACAAACACCTCACACCAACCACAGCACGGTGACCGCGTGAGGACGTCTGTCTGCTGAAGCGTGGACTCAACTGGGTCACCACGATGACCCGAGCACAGCAGCAGATCTGCAGCAGAACGGCTGGAAAAGGAAAGAATGGAGCTGCTGCAGTGGTGCAGTCACAGTGTGGGATGCTGTGGTGAGACCTTCACAGAGCTGTGCATGAATAATCCTGCAAACCTCAGTGAGCTGAAGCAACGCTGTAAAGAAGAGTGGGTCAAAACTCTCCACAGTGATGTGAGAAAGTCCCACAGGAAACTTCGAGTTGCTGCTGCACCACGAGGCTCTACGAGCTCTGTCCACATTTACACTGTGTGTCTAATAACGGAGCAGTTTGACACAGGAAATCACACCACTGAGCTAATTTTAGTAGGAAAGACAAGCCATCATGAAAAACACTATTCTGGCTTACCCAGTGTTTCTTATTTAAGGAGGAAGTGGGAGTTTGTTGGCAAAGACACCGAGCCCACACTCTCCCTGCATCAGAGTGTGCTGCAGATGCTGCAGGTTCATTTCAAGCAGAAGCTTCTGATCATCAAAAGCAGATAAATGTTTCCAATAAAAAAGCAACAGCATCATGTGTGAGTGTCTCTCATGCACACAGCCATGTTTGTCTGCTGCTCGTCCCTCACTGCGCGGCTCTTTTGACTACAAACGCATTAAAGTGTGCCAGTCTGTCCATCACCACAGTTTGAGTAAAAATAATCCAGTCAACTCATGAAACTAACAAAAACACAGAGACGTGTCTGTCTGTGAAAACGTTTTCACTTTTCTTTGGTTCACTTTGGTCTAACTGCTTCACCTCGTGCAGATCTGCAGGTATGATCTTTGAATTTTAAACAAAAAATAAAGAGTTTGGCTCAAAGTCACATTTCAAATCTGCAGAAGAGACATCGGTGCATGTGTGTGTGCATGTGTGTGTGCATGTGTGTGTGCATGTGTGTGCG